CCAAAGCACAACAACTCAAGGGCGGGATGTACATGTACCGAGCCACGCCTAAAGGATATTACCAAAAATGGACCAAACAGTAAACGTTAATAATTTACAAAGACAAATAATGAACACTATATCAAGTAATTAAGATGATAAACAACGTCAGTACCTAGAATCTATACATCAAGACCATCATGTATCATTTGTGAAATTGATACTGAATATACTGATAATAAAATATACCATAAGGTATCAAAAGGCCATCAACACCAACACATAGCGCTCCTTTTTTGATTTCAAGGAAATATGTAATATTGTGAAACAGTATTTCAAGTCTTTAATTCAAATTGTCTTTTATTCAATTTCCAGTAGGATTTAACAAATTTCAGATATTGACTCTGTGAATGAAACTAATACAATGGAAATTGGCCAAAGAAACTAAGGTTCCAAGTTCAAATTAAGTAGATTTTGCTATATTTTTAGGTCCCGTTTGTTCATATATATCTAATTAAGTTTTCACGTATTTATGTACCCTTGTCTTTCAAATTATTTAGTTTAAAAACCCTTACGGATGTCACTACCGAAGTGCTACGACAAACATTTTTACGAAAAACTTATTCTATTCATCTGAGAAAATGGGCGTGATTTTGAAAACGCACACACGAACATCCGTACCGGTGTTAAGGACGTAAAGAAATGAAATTTTGACTTTATTGACAACGAAATATACACATTTTAGATGAAAAGTGTATTGCTATTGTCAGTTTCATTGTCTCGGTGAACAGTTGTCACATAAGGAATATTACCACAATACTAATTTCATACAAACTGTATATCATTTTTTTCAGTTTTCTTTTAAAGAAAAACTACACCTGAATATCTATCTCAATGACGTAATACTATATCCTTTATCTTCTTTTATTCACATTTATCTACCAAAATATATACCATACCTATATATATCTATGTTAGATTACAACAATCGGGTTACAAATTATGTATCACACCAATATCTTTTACATTTTTTGTAAATATCTGGAAAATTGCCAAGTGATCAATAAAGCTTAAAATAAAATATACTCTTAATGAAATTCGTTAAACAATTTTGTAAGGCAGGTAAGAATATTTACTTTCAGTATCAAATTAAAATAAAATATACAATTCTCTTATTGTATTAAGTATATTTTGTAAATTATATTTTAACGTTATTCTTTAGATAAAACTAAACTTTTTTAAACTAAATAATGCTATAATATTTGATTTATAAGTAAACCTATTACGAGACGATTTTGATTTTGAAATTATAAACCCCCCACCTAAGCAGCAATATACCAACTTCATTCATCTTCATATGGGATACACATTTCCCAACTCATTCTGTATTCAAGAGCTTGCAGATGCTTCTCAGAGTTTATAAAACGTCACCAGTGTCTGAGCAGATAGTTGATGAACCAGGGTTAGGTCAAAGAACGTCTTATCCTTTTTCTAAAAAAGGTTCATTGGAAAATACCAAGACCTTGTTGATAGATATTCCGTATCAACTTCACACATAATACATGATGGTCTTGAAGTATAGATTCTAAGTACTGACGTTGTTTATCATCTTAATAACGTGTTAAAGTGTTCTTTTATCTGTCTTTGTATAATTTTAACCTTTACTGTTTAGTCCATTTTTGGTAATATACTTTTGACGTGGCTCGGTATTTATACATCCCACCATTGTGGTAATGTGCTGTGGTCATTTTTGTATTCTTGTCTTTTATTTTTGCTTATGTACTTTGTCTATTTAGTGTCTATATGCCATTTTGTTTTCTTTGTTGATATACTTATTTGTTTTTATAGTGATTAAGATTATAACACAATGTTAACTGTACCCCAATTTTTGACATATTTACATATTATGTCTGTTTGTTTTGTTCACACATTGTTGTCAATATAATGGAAATCTATGCGACTGTCATAAAAGTGAGAAGTTTAGCTAGCTATAAAACCAGGTTTAATCCACCAATTATTTACATAATGAAATGCCTGTACCAAGTCAAGAATATAACAATTGTTTTCCATTCGTTTGATCCGTTTTAGCTTTTGATTTTGCCATTTGATAAAGGACTTTTCGTATTGAGTTTTCCTTTGAGTTCGGCATTTTTTGTTATTTTACTTTTTAAACAATTGCTATTGTAACAATAAGAGTAAATAAATTGTAAAGACACAACATTTTTTATTTCTTGTTTTTCTGTAATATTCTGTATCTTTCAGGACATGCACTTTACCTAGACTCATCATTTCGTGAGTTCCGTTTCAAGTCCAGAATATGACAGTTGTTTTTCATTCGTTTGATGTGTTTGAGCTATTGATTTTGCCATTGATAAGGGACTTTTCGTTTTGAGTCCGGTATTTTTGTTATTTTTCATTTTTCCATCAGTTTTATTTCATTTACCCATTGCATGACCCTAAAAATAACATTTGGAACTTGCTTTGATTTTGATATTAGGAAGGTAGAATATAAATGTTATTTGAAACTTTGACAGTATCTAATGTTCCTGTGTGCTTTCAGCAAAGTATAAAATAAATATAGATACTACAATATCAAAACTATTTCTTTGAATAAAACAAAAGAATACACGAAAAATGGTTAAATGATCTATTTAAGTTTGCCTTAATGTTAACAATCTTATAAATGCATTTTGGTCTGTTACTCTGTTACCAACGTAAAGATATGTTGCTGAATTCGGTTCTATTTTTCAACTATTGTCCGTCATGCTCCTTTCAAAGATGTCGCGACATGTCATTTTCAGATTCTGAACACAAAATCTGTCAGATGTAAACTTATTAAAAACACGCACCAACATTGATTTCATTTTTCCTTACGGAGTTATTTGCACAAACACTTTGCATTTTGTAATAGGATGGTCTCAGAAAACGTGAGCGATAGAGAAAATTATCGTTAGTTTTCTATGTTGTGTCTTGCGTACTGTTTGTTGTTTGTCCTTTTTTTTTAGCCATGGCGTTGTCAGTTTATTTTTGACTTGTGAGTTTGAATATCCCTTTGGTATCTTTCGCCTCTTCTTTATAATAAAGGTATATATTTTTGAGGTCAAAACACTGATTTATTAGCTTTCATTTGAAAGAAATTTGAGATTTAAGGTAGATAGGGTGTCTTCCTCCATCTTGGATATTGTAATACCTGAAAACAATCGGTCTAGATCTTTAATAGAATGTGCAAATTTTTAGAGGAGAAGGTAATTCATGTGTAAGAATTTTCATTTCAATATAGAAAATGACATGTTTTATCATATTTATGGTTGTATTTTACAAAAAACAGAAAACTTTTGTCTGATTCAATTTTTTCCAACTTTGCCACATAAGGGGAGGCAACTCAAATGTAAGGGCAGATAATTCAGATAAAGGTACTTTTACAATAGAATGTGTTAGGAATTTACCTATTTTATTATGTAGCAAGAAAACGGGTCCGGTGACCCCATTTTTTCTTTTTCATATCTGAAAGCATACTATTAAAGCTATCTTCTCATATTTTATCTCAAAATTCTATGGTGTAATTTTCGTTTTATGGCAGAAAATTGGGTTTTCTATGCATAATCTATACAAAATCTGTTAATTTTGAACAACCTGTAGCGTGAAAATAAGCCCCGTGACCCATTCTTTTTATCATTTTTTTTTAAAAAGCTTGATATAAACTACATTTTGGCAAATTATTAAAAAATTCTATGGATTATAATTTAGACACCCCATCTACCTTAATAGGGGTATATTTTTCTTTGTAATTCGACACTTTTCGCTATTGTTTTTCTATGAACAAATAAGCATTCGGCAATATACCTTATTGAAATAGTTTAAGGTCAATGGAAACAGACAAAGTTGACCTTAGAACTTGAATCTAATTATTGCTATATCTTGAACATAGTTATGGACAGAAGTAGACACTAATTGGTTACAGTAATGTCATGTGGCCTTAATAAATCGAGGAAACACCTTTCAAACCGAAGGTAATCTATTCTTCAGAAAAGTATCTTGCAACCATATACATTAGGATTAAGGAGGGAACATGCTATCAATTGGTACAATTTTCATTTTGAAACAGCCTGTATATCACTCTAAAAATCAATTTTTGAAGAAATTCTGAAGAACATGTAAGAAATCTGATTTTTTTTCTTTATTGAAGGTCTTTTCAAACAACTTTCTTCTTAAATACAATACATCATGTATTATTTTACACATTTGGCATTTCAATATTGTACATTTATAAAACTAGACACTTTCATTATACCTTCTCTTTGTCTGGTATCCGAATTTGGATTCATAGACTCCGTGAAATTGTACTTAAAAACAACCTTCCTTAAAAAAATACAAAGATACCGAAATATCCCTTCAAAAGACAAATCAGTGATAAGCACATTTTCAGTTTTGATTAATTCTGCTTTCGTTTTTAAAAAGTCGACATCAAAAAGGGAAGAACAAAACAAATCAAATCATTATTCGTACTGAAAATGACCTTTTCACTAGAATGTTCGATTTTTTGGACATATTATCAAACAATATATAATTTTATGTATAAATACTTTTATACGACATTTGCTAGCTAAATCCTCTGGTTCCATTAGCAAATAACCCTACATTCAGGAATCTAGGCGTAATAATTGTAGTGCAAAAGGTATTGTTAATTTGTACGATAAACTATTTGAAGTACAAAAAGCTTTTATGTTGTGCAACAAAACAGGACACTTCCGCAATATTCTGAATACAAAAGAACTGTGTAAGAAACTATTTTTGAGACCATAAAGAAGTATTTATCATGTTTATATAAATATATATGCTTTACAAAAAGCTATTCTCATCACGAAAAAAACTGATGTTAAGATTTTATCTACTTTTACAAGATTTACCTCATTGCTAAAAAAGAGTTGTTTATTATAAAGTGTACGGGGATCGAGTTGAAATAACGATAAACCAGTGTTGTTATGTTCCAGATTGTGTTAATATATACCCTACGTATGTATTCGGATTGAATTACAGTGCGGTTACTTATACTTTTAATAGTTTTTTTTTAATATTTGAAAAATTGCCAAATGTTGTTATCAACGGATTAATAGAGCTTGGAATAAGATATATTTTGTGAAATTCGTTAGACAATTTTGTAAAGCAGGTAAGAATATATACATTACGTATTAAATTAAGATAAAAGATTCAATTCTCTTAATATATTAAATTAATTTTGTAAATTATATTCTAACTTATTCTTTAAAAAAACTGAACCATTTTTTAACTAAATAGTGCTATAATATTCGAATTTATAAGTAACTTTACCCTTTTTAAACAATGGCGATCGTAACAATAACAGTTATCAAAATAAAAAAAGTTTGTTAAGAAACACCAATTTTTGATATCTTGCTTTTCTGTAATATTCTGTATCTTTCATCAGGACATGCACTTTATCTACTTTTATTAGATGTACCTGATTGCTAAAGAGCTGTTTATTATAAAGTGTCCGGGGACCGAGTTGAAATAACGATAAACCAGTGTTGTTATGTTCCAGATTGTGTTAGTTAAAATAATTCGTGGATTTTTGTTAAAATCAATTGAATTTCAAATCTATTTTGGTGACAGTTATGCATAATTTCTTTGTCTGATCAAAATATTTATTTTTTTTATTTTATCATTGTTCAACGGACATTATCCTCTATCATGTAACATTCCAATTATATGCCCAATGACTCCTTGGCCTTGCAATAATTTTATTAACTACAGGCTTTAAAAGGGAAATTCTTCGGCATTGTGGACTAAAAATAATTCATGACAAAAATCCCTTTTTAATCTCATATTACTGATATATTTTTTTTCTGTTTACAGTTTCTCTCAATATTTTTGATTTTTTCCCCAAAACACAAAAAGGGTAAACAATATACAGTTAAGGGCAATCACTCATATAAAGTGTCTACTAGCGTTTTTGGTAAATTTATTTGTAGGTCTTGTCTTGCTGATCCATTTTGTTTTTGAAGTGTCTATCTATCTTTTGCTGTGTTCAAGATAATAAGCAAAAACGGCAACAAATTGGTAAAAATTGACATTTAAGAGGAATAACTCAATAAGGAGTCGCTTGAAAATTTCGGCCATTTAAAAAAGTTGTAGATCTTGAGTTGCTGAATTAAAGTTTCTATCTATCTATCTATTATAGTTTTTAAGATATCAAGCAAAAACGCAAAATATTGGTAAAAATCGTTCTTTAAGGTCAATAACTCCAATAAGGAATCGACTGACGATTTCGGCAATGTTGATTTATTTGTAGGGCTTGTCTAGCTGATCATTTTTGCTACATTACGTTTCCCTCCATCTATTATAGTTTTGAAAATATTAGGCAAACATGAAAAATAATGGTAAAATTGGTAATTTAAGGACAATACTCCTATAAGTCGTCTGTGAGTTTTGATGTAAATAAACAGTAGGTAGATCTGAACATTTTGTGAACATTTTTTACCATATAAGATTTTTCTATATTTATAGCAGTTTTCAAGATAATAGACATTTTTTCATAGGTTATATGTCAATGTCGGACATGTTGTTTGGAAGAAAGGATCGGTCGGACATATTTGTTTAACTAGATACTCCAATGACGATGATTGTGGCCAAGTATCGTTAAATTTGGCCCAGTAGTTTCAGAGGAGAGGTTTTTGGAAAAATTCAGTTTAGTGTGGCATCAAAGAAATGAAGTGTCTATCTCTCTAATTTCTAAAAGATACACATGCGGATGACCCCAAATTTATCCATGTAGAGCCCCAAAATAATAAACATAAATGTGTCTAGTAAAAAATAATATTATTGATTTTATTGCCTACGTCAGAACTTCATAACTTTTTTTCGAAACGACTTCTCATGAAAAATGCAAGACTAGTTTAGTTCATGTTTAAACCTGATCAAAGAGAAGCATGAGTGGTCTGTAGAAATGTGCACATACATATCTGTATCACTTCCAAATAAAAGATTAAAATGAAAAGTTTATCAACATATAAATAAACATAAATACAATATCAAATTTATTACCGTTTATGCTTTTGATAAAATAACAGGAAAAAAAAATGAGTGAACAAAAAGACAACTGATAAGTCAAAACAATTATGTAAACTTCTTCGCCTAGCTTTAATTGGCATATCTGACAATATTTGACAGGTACGCAAATATCTAAAATCTCATCTGTTATCATCAATCAGGTCATGATAAACGGACACTTCTTTTTTTTTTGTCAATTGAAAGAGCTGTTAGTTAAAATTAACATTTGCCTATTTTCACACATATTTGTGATTGAGAAAAATTGAGCACATTCAAGTAAAACAAACATATTTACATTAAAGTTGTTGTTCATATAGACAAACATTGTAGAAAAGTTTTTTACCAAAAGGCGTAAAAAGACATTTCCGTGACGTCAGAGCAGTTTTTATTGTGGATCGAAAACCTCCTGTGTTTACTAAAACTTTAAAACGGATATGGATTATAATATTCAATCAAAAGTTGAGAGTTCACACCTTGAACTTTTTGGTGTATATTATATCCTGATTGTAATGTTCGAAAAGTGTTTCTCCATTATTTTGATACCAGTTTTCATCTTAAAATAATAAAAGGCCAGCAGAAATATAAATCTTAGTCATACATGTATTAATTACTACGTTGATAGAAAAATGTCACTTTTTGTTTTTGAAACCGGGAACATTCGAAGTTTCGACCTACTAAGTTGATAGTTAAAGAAGAACAACCTATACACAACCTTCTCAAAGGCAAACAGAAAACTACGTTGCCAAGTGCGTTATATTTACGTTAAAATATAATATGTCATGTCTTGTTATTCATTTATCCCAGTGAGTGTACTGGATATTTCTGATACTACCCAAATTAGAAAGTCTGCTTGATATCTACATCTTTTTCTTGAAATTCATATACATGGACGACAATCGTTTATACAATCGCTTTAGTTTATTAGTTTATTTATCCCAATTAATACGTGACGAGCGTGCATGTTCAAATTAAATGAACGTCATGAAAAGGGTTTTACAAATTACGAATTGATTGATTGATACAATGTGCCTGTGTTTCAACTCACGATAGATATTTTTCGCGGTGATATATCTTAAGCCAACAGAACAGTCGTCTGATTGTATTTATGAGTTTCGAACATAGGAAAACCATTGTTACTTCTTATCGTGCAAATGAACCATTAAAGTAATAAGATTTTCTTGATAATGCATATTTTTGTTTAAGTGATAAATATATATTCTCTGTAAACAGTAGATACATACACTTTTAAATCCAAAGCTGACAGTGATCGTTGTCCTTTATAATAAGACACTAGAATTTCTCACAGAAATCTTATACCAAATTTTATCAAAAACGGCAAGAGGTTTTCTTTCGGTTATGATTTTTTGCAATGACAGATCACATTTGAATGAACGTAGTTCTTTTAATACTAATACATTGATAATAGGGTTAAAGATGTCATTAATATAACATTGATTAGCTATATCAAAACTTTAAAGATTGATTACGGCAGTATGATTTTACCTGTAAAATTTAATTTAAAATGGTATATAACGTCAATTTAGTTAGTGTAATATTATCATAAAGATAAAGTAATAAAGGACAAGGGCATCCCCGGATTTGTACTCGCATGAGCAAACCGACAAGTGTCACATGAGGAGCAGGAACTGCTAACCCTTTTGGTAGCTCATGAGTTCACCACTATATTGGTTGGGAACGTATTGCTTGAGTTTCCTATTTAGTGTTTTATCGTTTTTCGTTTTTTGCCATAGTGTTTTCAGTGTTTAGAGTAATTGTCATTCAAATCTTTTATTTTGCTTTCACAAACTAATTGATACAGGCTTTTCTCAAAATGTTGCTTGCGTTGAGTGTTTTTGACAAATATTTACATGCATGTTTTTAATCTAAAACAAGACCACTATTTAAAATTTTTTATTTTGTTCTTATTCATTTATTTGTGTATTTTCATTTTCATTTTAATGAATTTTCTAAGGGCATTGCAAAAAAAATTAGACAGAAGATACAAATCTCATAGTTCAAAGACAAAAAGGCAAACAAAAAAAGAAAAACGACAAAAACACGAACAGCAGTCTGAAACACACAACATAGAAAACTAAAGAATGAGCAACACGAACCCCACAGAACAACGGGGTGATGTCTGGTGCTCCGGAAGTGAAAGCAATCTTGTTTGAAATGTGAAACCCGTCGAATTACTCATGTATGTACGAATTCGGTTGTGTCACGTTCAAGGAAAAGAGGTCGGAATTGTGGTTACGGATACTGTATGTGTATTCATTTTCGTGAGTACCAGTTATCGTGGATTGAAGAAACATTGTCTTGGTTATTTGATTTCGTGGTTTTGCAAAAGTTTGTATAAAAGCCATAGAAAATCTATTCTTCCTTGAACATTTAACGTCAAGGTTCCATATATCCACTATGTCAACAAAATTGGCACCCCATGAATAATAATGAATCTACAGTATTCCATAGAGGTCAACCAGCTCGAGATAGCGTCCGTAAAATTTGTGAAAGGATGACTTCAACTTTACTATTTTATTTATCATTTGGAACCGTTGATGTATTAGCTATTTTTGCAAGTAGCAACATTCTATCAAGGAATTCAAGCTCTTGAATATCGTATTAACTAGATAAACTAGGAGATATATACTTCATATGGAGGCACTGCTGGAATGTGGTAACATAAATATGGAAAGTTTACAATTCGGAAGCTGAAATCAATTCTTTTGTCGTAAATGTATTTCTTTTTATCTCAACCTAAACTTTATTGTAAATTTCTATATGATAGTCAATATATGAAGCATACTTTACGGTATCAGTGTTATCCATCCCTTGTTTCAAGTTTGATGGGATAGATGCGGTCAATGTAGTAACCAACCTTTGAATTATTTAGTAAGAGGATATCATCTATAAAGCGAAACGTAAAGTTAAATGACAATGCTGGTTTCTTTTTATTCTTTCTAAGAGGCTCCTATATGAAGTCTGCCTCATGTGCATATAGGAAAAAGGTCGACAAAACGAGGAGCACAGTTGTTCCCATAGGAATGCCGACTGTTTTTTGAAAACTAAGTGGTGCAAACGTAACAAATATGTTATCAATAAAGAAATCAAGCATCTTGACACTGACAATATCAGTTTCAAAGAATGTTTTGTTTGAACTAAAGATTTTTTTTTACAAAGTGTAATTTATCCCTTTAAAAAAACAGATAGTATATCTACGTAAACCACTTTTTGAAAGAAAAAGATTTAGACCGATTCTGTCAATCTGTCTCTTAGTTTTGCATGGGAATACTTGTGTTTAGGGTTCATAGGGCAAATATTTTAGATGTCTTTGCAAGATTGGAGGGACTTAGATTGTATGTACTCTAACAGATCTTTGGAATTTTAGTAATCACATCTGATTCATACCACCCCTAAAATAGGCAGTTTTACAACTCTAGGGCTATTGATTGCTAATACAAATAGTTTGGTAGGAGGTTTCGTAGAGCACTTGGCAGAAACAAAAATATGACATTGTTTGTATGGAATCTTGTGTAATTTTGGTATCATGATCGGATCTTTCAGCGCTGTTTTTGATTTTTGTGTAAATTGTATTCCGGTGTATACCAGCCGATATTAGATGCTAGGACGGTATTTATTCATGTCAACTCGTACTGTTTTTAATCTTGCTTTCAGAAATGGCGAACATTCTTTGATATTGTATTACTAATTATTTCTTTATGTGTTTCCGTGTGTTTGTTGTTTATTTTATTGGTATTATAGAGTTGAGTGCGTTTTTGAAATAAATGTTGTTATTGTACGTCCTTCTATTGTTCAATTGACTAGTTTTACCCCCCAAAAAAATGTATAACCTGTTTAGCGACAGAAAGCCATGTCAGTGGTTGTATTTTTTCAGATCGTAATGTTTTAGCCCTCTATGGGATTTAGGTTGGATTGCCGATTTCTTATATATTCTCTGTTAAATTTATTTACAGCTTTTAGTACTGGACTTCTTTACGAATTGAGTATCTACTCTATTATTTAAACCCTTATAAAGACCTCAAAATATTTTCACATTTTTGGCTAAGAGAATAGAATAAAAAAGAGTGTAAATTAAAATTTACACATGAAATACCATTTTGATAATAAATGCTGTTACTGAAATATTTTACAGAAACTGAGGATAGAATGTTAAAATGGAAATGGATAGTCGTACAAAATCATATACCAAATACTATGCTGAAGAACAAATGAAAAACCGTATGATGTCGCCTCTAGCGGAACCAAACCACTACCCGCCATTAACAGATAACACATCAGAAAGAATTTATATCGTGGCATTAAATTGGCTGTCAAATGTCGCTGATATATACTTCATGAAAAACGACAATTTGGTGAAAGTTGATCTTGTAACTATATTTGCTACGAAGCTACTGGTATACTTAAAAGACTTGTTTGGTTTAATTGATCAGCAATCGTGTCACTTTGTTCGAAATGTAAAGATAATAGACGCCAAAGAGGTTAGACCAGGCGATATTATTTTTACACCGGATCACAATTATGTTATTGTCAAAGCTGTAAAAAGCAGCCATAACAACAATAGGTCATCGGATTGCAAACGAATAAGTATAGAAGTAGTCCATGCAGTAAAAACCAATTTGCTCGCTTCAAAGACGATTTCAAAGACTACATTCTCGTCTACATCAGAACAGGCAATTGTTGCTGTTAGTACTAACAAAGAGGTTCAAACACGGATCAGATTTGTTGATGCAGCTCTGCGTTCAGTTGGAAATATTTTACTGCACCGCTCAAAAAGTCTTGAATTCTTAGAGGTTAGTATAAACGTGATTCCAAATATCCCCAAAGGGTGACTGTGTAAAAAAAGAAATTTGGTTATTTTGGTCCACTTTCGACCGGCAATTAAACTATTGCAAAATTTGGACGTCAGTTTAGTAGTGTACGCAGCCACGTCCGGTCTGAATGGGGACGTTAAATCCGATGCCTCGTGTAGAGGGAGTGGCACTTCCTACAGATAAACAAACTTATAGTGCATAAAGTCAAATGTACCGTCTATAACAAATCTCTTATAATTAAGGAGTGTTTATACTAATTCCTATCGTGTGCATGAAGTTTAAGGCTCATCTCACTAATTTAAAGAAATATTTCTACTAAAGTTATGGCCAAACAGACAATTGACTGGATTAATCAATAAATTTCTTCACGGTTCATTAATGATTTTTGTAATTTGTAATAATCGTCTGAAACAAAGATTAAATAGAAAAAAATATCCAAAAAAGTGGTAAAATATGAGATCAAATTGCCACCTAAATCAAGTATACTTCCAAATTTCTCCAATTTGCAGTCGAATGATTAGTCCACGAAGTGGTGTATTCCTTTTAACATGTCATGCAGCTTTGAAACAGTAGAAACAGTTAATTTTTTTTATATAACATTGACTGTTTGAGGCATGCGTACTAAGAAATAATATACAGTAATCCTTATCCAAAACAAATTCACGCAAGATGCAAATGATTATTTGCACATTTCCAAAACGAATATGCTTGGCAAAACGTATGCACTATGTTATTTTGTAAAATTTTGTAATATTGTCAAAGTAAAAAAAAAACAATTCTCTTATTTGACGCTACTTAAGATTTAAAATGGTGAAAATAAATTGTACAAAAAAGTGAACACACAATGTATATTCTTACCTTTGCAGGAATCCTATGACATTTGCTCATTACAAATTCGACATAGAAGAATTTTAAGCTATAAAGAATTAAAACCAGGAGACATTATTCTGTTCACAAATAAAAATCTGATTCGAAGAGGTATTGTTGTAAACATGAAAAATGCACCAAACAATGTTCTTCATGCCAGTCTATATCATATCACCGATAGCGGATTTGTAGCTGAAACAGAAAGTGCATACAATTTAGATCAAGTATCACTAGTACAATATGTGTACAACGATTTGGATTCAGTCATACGTAATCGGGTTCTATATACGGCAGACCAAACTAAAGGAAAACGAGCATTCCAGCCATCTCCATTGATGTCAATGAAGTTCGTTTTGGGATGCATGTCTGGTGACTTTGTTCTGTCAAAGTAAGTGATCATTATTGAAACAATTTAAAGTACAGATTATAAACATAACGGCAAACGTTATCCAGTTCTTCTCAAAATAGCATGCGAACATTTAAATTTAAACCATTTCAACAAAAGTAAAATTATCGAAATATGATTCCTTTTTAGTGACCATTTTGTTCGAATAAAACAGATTTACAGTTGTGCACAAGTTGAATTACTAAACAATATTAATTGTTGTCCTGATAAAAGATTGAAGCTTTTTAGAGGTTTCTGAGTAAACAGAATTTAGTTTATAAGGTTGCACTGTATCATTCACAGGGTTAGAGAATTGTATGAACCTTTAGGCAACTTTTTTCCAACATGCATTTTAAAGATACACGTTATTCCAGTTACCGAAAAAGGAAATAATGGGGTACTATAACCAAAACCAGTCGTCGTGTCGTGAGGAATAGAAAGACTCAACAAAAGCAACACAAAAAACCTTTGATCGCTGAAAAAATATACAAATTCAAATCAATGTTTACGTAACAGAAACCAATGTACATAAAATTCAATATCATAATAATATAAAAACAATGAATTAACAACAGTATAAAACAAATACATGTCTTAAAATACATCGTCAAACTAAAACAAACTGAGACTGTTTTAAACATATAATGTATATGCAGTATAGATAATAAAGAGCATAAACATGTGAGTTTCTTCTCTCTTATAAAGGTGACTGCTTTTCTAATAAAATAAATTACAAACCATTATGATTTTCATTTTGGGTTTGTCTATGGTTTCATTCGATTAAACACTGGTATCAAATGAATTTTCATATTTGAGTTTCTAAGATTCAAAACCCTCACAGATGACATGTTTATTCTGTCAGCTTAATTTTGTTTCTTAATTTTTTCCATAACATTCCATTGTAGTAATCTTAAAATATTGTCATGTGGAGGTATTCTCTTTTATAAAAAACAACAATTGATTTTAGTTTATATCTTACAATATGATTGCAATTGTTTCAGACACTTACGAGTCTTCATAGGTCTACAAGAAATAAAGTTGAAAACATGCGCGTTCAAAAGAGTGGAAAACATTGCAAAATGGATCGAAAAAAACACTAGTTGTGACATTCGTGATGAAATAAGAAGCAGAATTTCAGATATAGACTTCAATCCAATAATATGTGTCCTTTCCAACACAGATGGAGAAACAAAGCCGTTCAAATTATTTGATAATTCCGACATCCTCGAAATGAAAAATGCGACGTTCACATCTTTGCATAGAGCCAAAGAAAAATTCATGTACAAATGCAGACTCAAAAATAAAAAGGGGAAACCTATCATTGCTATTTTGATGCTTACGACTAATGAAACACATCATTTATCTGAACAGGTGAGTAATAATTTTACTTCATAAGTTTATAAATTCAAATAAGCATTGATTTCGAAAGTATAAAAATGAGGTTATAAATCTGAAGGTCCATAAAGAAATAGATAATAAATAAACAGTGTATTTATGAATTTATTTGACGTGTTACAAAGTAAAACAAATTGAAACTATTGAACATAAAACAGTTCAGTAGTCATGTTGCATAAATTAGTTTGTATTAAGCTTTGGACGCACAAAATACATAAGGTGTTATTTTTATTAACTATTCCCCGATGGTTTTATCCGATCAGTAGCAAGCGCTTCGTTTCTGACTAGATTTATTACATGTTCTAAAATTCCACGTTGATAAATTAAGAAAATATGAAAAAATAAGGTTGAAACTCCCTAAGGCTAATTAAGCTGACGTTAGAAGAATTTGGCTATTCTTTTAAGGTCCTTTTGGTCAATAAGCATATGCTTATGTTTGAGCGTTCTGGATGAAGGTAAATCACGAAAAACGCTTCGGAAATTTATAAGATGTTATTCTTATTTGCATGTTAAAATCTAGTTTCATTTTCAACTCGGCATAAGTATTTCACATCCCATGATGTTCAAATAAGAGATTTAAGGAATAAACGTCAACACCTCAACAGCAATTGAAACAAAAACATTAAATAAACTAAGCAAAAACCAAAAAACTAAAACAAAAAAGAAAGAAAAATATCATTTATAACAAAATGAAATACAAAACATTTGATCAATAATTAAAATGAGTTTTCTATGTTGAAAGGATAAAAGTATGGTAGATCTGCTGAAGGAAGCGCAAGATTTAATTGACAGTGATGTAATCTTTACGATTCAGAGGACACAAGTGCAGCATGATTTTGATGTTCGAAAAGAAGTCAGTGAGGCTATTCAAAAGCGTCTGATGCCTTCTTCAGTACAAAACACAATATATCCAAATGTTTTCTTTGAAGACGATTCTGACATACAGAAGCGCATTGCATTATTAGTCGAACAGATAATAAACAGACAAATACAGCAACAAACAAAGTTTCTTGAAACTTTACAAAATGAAAAGGCAGACAATGGAAGAGAAAAAAGAAACAACATAGCGGAATATGCAAAACAAATGAAGAGGCTATGTTCTTTTGTTCCATCAGAGAAAATGGATGCTTATTCCCGACACAAAATTGAAGTCGTATTACAAAGGTAATAATCATGAATAAAAGGAGATAGGTAAACATTAATAAAACAGAAACCCTAAATCAAATTTAAAAACACTTACAGGTTGATACTAGTTCCTTTTTTGTTAGCATAAATAATTAGCTGTTTAGATTACGAAACAGGACGATATATAGATTGAAACCTTTTCTCGTAAACTATGATTCTGATAAAGTTTTGGATAATAAAGGGTAACAAAGCAAATAATCAACAACATTAATAAGTAAGACTAAAACGGGGGACAATCAAATGTTAGAAGTCAAAGACGGGTACCTTAACCAAATTCAAAAATATAAATAACATTTTTAATATATAAAAAGTGTCATACGTAGGTTAATTTGCGTGAAAACCATTGAGCAATATGATATACAGCAGGAAAAGACGTGAAAAGTAGACGCTTAGTTCCTGCTTGCAGTTCTAATAATGACGGTTGTAGCTAGGTATGTTAGATATAAAACGTCTTTTTTTGTTTATTCTTTATGGATGATCGCATTGCATTTTAAATAGAAAAGTACATAAACTAGTTAATGCTAATTACCTTTCTCATTATCTACTAAAGTGTTTGTCAAAATCGCAGAAAGTGGGTATAATGCATTTTAGGCCAGTAATTACTATCAGAAATAAACTGACAATTCCGACTATCTTGATCGGTTTGTAGATTTATGATCATGATAGTTGTTTTCATTTTGTCCTTATCTTCTATTTTTTGCCCCGAGCGGAAATAATGGTAAATATCATTAAAAGAGATGACTGACAGTTTCGGCTTTTTTGACTTAATTGTAAATTTTTTTGGTAATTTTTTCTGTTTATAGTTTTTCCTTATCTGCTATCAATTTCACTAAAAATGCAAAAATGGATAAAAGCATCATTAAGGGGCTTTTCTGGAGTCGACTGACAATTTCGGCAATTTGACTTATATGTAGATCTTGTCTTGCTGATCATTTTTCATATTGAAAGTTTAATTTCAAGGCAAAATACAAATATCCATGTCGGCCATATTGGTTTTGAAGGTGGTATAATCGCACACATTTTTGTCGAGCCTGCGAATTCTGTCGCAGAAAGCGAGACATAGGGACAGTAATTCGGCGGCGGCGACGGCAGCTTTAATAAACTACTTAAAAGCTTAATAGTTCAGAAGAAAGAAGACCTGAAAGTTTAGAAGAAAGAAGACCTGAATGCCTCAAAATTTGTATATAGATGCCTTATGTTATGAAGTTTCCGTCTGCAAAATATGTCCAGTGTTCTTGACCTTATTTTCATGGTTCATTGACTAATTGGAGTAAAAGTTTAGATTTTTTTTTGTAATATTAATGTCTCTCTTATAATAAGTAATATGATAACTATATTTGATGTTTTTGTACCTTGCAAGGTCATCATGCCTATCAGACAGTTTTTACTTGACCTCGACCTCATTTCATAGATCAATAAACCAGGTTAAGTTTTCGTTGTCAAGTCCATATCTCAGATACTATTAGCGATAGGTCTACTATATTTGGTGTATGGATTGATTGTAAGGTGTACATGTCCATCTGGCAGGTGTCATCTGACCTTGACCTCATTTCATGGTTCAGTGGTTAAAGTAAAGTTTTTGTGTTTTGGTCTGTTTGTTTAATACTGTTTGCAATATGTCAATCATAATTGGTGTATGGAAATATTTTACGATGTATATCAGTCTAGCAGGTTTTAGTTGACCTTGACCTAATGTTTACGGTTCATTGATCAACGTTATTTTTTTGTGTTTTGATCTGTTTTTCTTTAACTATAAGCACTAGATCAACTATATTTTATGTAATTGTTCATTGGTCAATGTTGAGTTTTCCGAGTTAAGTTTGTTTCTTAGATGTAATATGCAGTAGGTCAATTTTATTTAAAGCATTGACTGACTGTAAGGTGTATATGTCTGTCTGGCAGGGTTCATCTGACCTTTACCTCATTTTCATGGTTTATTGGTCAATATACATTTTCATGGTTTGGTCTGTTTTTTGCAATTTTTGTATACTATAAGAAATAGGTCAACATATTTGTGTATGGTGGTTATGGAATGATTGTAAGGTGTACATGTATTTCTGGCTTGGTTTATCTGATCTAGACCTCATTTTCTTTGACCATGTTAAGTTTATGTGATACTTGTAGTAAAACTTTATATTTAGGACTATCAACATAAAATCAATGTTCAGTAAAGCAGGCGAGACATTTCAGCGTGTGCACTCTTGTGTTAAACAAGATACTCCAATGATGATTGCGGTGAGTTTGGTTCAATTTGACCGAGTAGTTTCAGAAGAAAAGACTTTTGTAAAAGTTATCGTACGCCAAGTGATAGCAACACTCACACTGATAATTTGGGGCAGATGAGTTTATAAAAAGAAGTTATAATGTCTAATCTTTTATCATTATAGAAACCCTGATGTCTCTGCATTTTCATATAAAATGGGAAAGATGCAAATTTTTGCGAAAGATGATTCAGCTCTCCGTGATTATGTTGCTCAATTTATATCAGAAAATAATCTTGAATTGGAAGTAAAACCATGGCCAGGTGATCCAAGAGTGGATAATTATCATTTGAAACAAGGGAGCAAAATAAGTAGAACAACTGACCATAGTCATGAATACGGAACGCTTGGATTGTTTGTTCGTGATGCTGTAGGGAATACATACTTTACAACATGCGGACATGTTATTCCTAAAAGCAAAGAGGCATTTACGGAAACAGGAGGATACGCCGTTGGAAAAAGTTTATTTGCACCAGAACAAACTCGCTTTTCGCTGGTCAACACCCTTGACTTATCTCTTGTTCGTGTGTACAAAGAAAAAGAAGAAATCTGTAAGTTTGGATTGCGAAATCCCGATGACAAATTAATAACTGGATCCGTGTCGGCAGCAGATGCCTGTGAAATGGAAGATATGAAGGTATATAAATGGGGGGCTAGCACACAACTAACAAGAGGAACTTATAAAGGATCAATTTGCGTCAAAAAGGGTGAAAAGTTTGATAGTTGTATTCATTATATTGAAGGAGCCATAGACAAGAGTAAATTTGCAAAGGAAGGAGACAGTGGATCTTTAATATGTTTTGAAGCAACAGGTTCGCCGCAATTTCCCGGTGATACTGCAGCTTTTATTTTTGTAGGTAAATGTAATGGTGAGGAGTACGTATCTGTTGAAAACGAATCTTTTCCAGGATATTGTTACCAAGTGTCCGATGTTTTTAATTGTTCGATTGAAGAAATTGGAAATCTCGAACCTATTTTTCAACCAAACAATAGTAATGGCACAGGAAGTATTCAGCAAGGATCAGAACTGTGTTCCGGTGACTAAGTATGAAATAAAAACAAAAACGACAGGAGATACCAAAAGGATCACATACTTATAAACTCATTAATAGATATAAGCCAACCTTTTATTTGTTTCAAAATCTTGTTAAATGATACATTTGTTTTATAAAAAAATTAGTATTGTACTTGTTTTATTTTCAAATAAAATGATACCAAAAAAAAAGAATGTTTCATCATAAAAGTAAAGAGTCGTAGTAAGATTGCCAAAAACATATTTTTGCAGGCAGGTACCGACGACAACCATGAGATTTTAACTTTGGACTACAGGGTTCATCAGGCACATACAAAATGTGACTAGGTAAAACATGTTTGTGAGTGCGTTACCCTTCCTAGCTTTTGGACAATGGTGTAACAGTATACACCTATTGACCGGGTATGAGGGTAATAGCAAGTTTGTTGTCCCTGAGATACCAAATATTGCTCGAGGCGAAGCCGAGGGCAATAGTTAGTTTCAAAGGGACAACAAACTTGATATTACCCTAATAACCAGTCATTAAGTGTTTTATTATACCGAACAGAACAACTTTCTAAAAAGACTACATACACCACTTGAAAAAAAAATGATCACATAGACATGTACAAGATGAACTATCAGGTTTTTTTTCCCTGTGTGGTATTTGTCAATAATCTATTTACTGTAATCAAGACCAGGAATCCTTGTGTAAAAATTGCCGTGCATATGATCAACATTAGCTAAAATATTTTACCGTACACCAAAGCAATCCCAGATTATGAAGACGACGACAGACCAATACCATACATTACATGTTTTAGTTCTTAAAATATGTCGCGTAGATTTTCTTTTTCAATTGCTTCTGGTAAGTAATATATTAATTTGAAATCACGACAAATACATACAGATTATAACGTTTACGATATTTCAGAGTTTTACGTTGCCAAGCGCACAAATCCAAGCAGAATAGTCGATGACGTCAATGTTGTCCAATGAAAAATTAGTATGAAAAAGTACGGGAAATATGTTTATAAAACTATTGACCGGGGTTATAGTCTTTGAAACTATTGACTGGCAAATAGTCTGTGGAATGAAATAGCAGAAATATTTCATTCTTTTTTATATAGAAAAAACATACTGAGGTATAATAATACATCATATTAAGTACAGACAGTAAAATCCGTTTGAAAAGGGCTTAGTTTATTATATCGATCCTTATCGGTACTAAAAATACGACTGACAAAATGATAAAAGACACAAAATACCGACGTAAGAGTACTCGGAGTAAATTAAACGTGATACAAAGTTCAATATCAACTAATAGATAGACAAAGATTTATAACTCAATCAGTACACCTCCAGGACATCATAAGCAGTTTAGAAATAAAATGGTAACCTTGGCCAATATCAAATAGAATAGAGAATGGAAACGGGGATTGTGTCTAAGAGAAAACAACCCGACCAAAGAGGAGATAACACCCCCAAGGACAGACTAATGGGTCTTCAACGCACCCCATTGTTCGTATTGACAGGATGAAGGACAATAAGTGTTAACTATTGAATAGTAATACATGATAAGTTAAACATTAAAGAGCACGAGAAGATACCAAGTGGACAATAAAAAATCATCAGTAGTAAAAAAGTGAACAACACCATTGCCAAACATTAAGAAGACGAAAAGACAAAAAACAGTTCACAAAACAGAAAATGTTCAGTGAACTATGAAATCTGGGTCAAAACATAAATTCAGCATATGTTTTTTTTTTCAAATCCATAACATAATGAACACGTATACTAAGTTTCAAATTGATTTGACCATGACTTCACAGTAAATTACCTCAAACTAAAAAAAATCCCGAACATATCGCAAAATATATGGTAAGCAGAGTATACAGCTACATATTATTCTTAACATGCCAAATATTGGCCGATAATAGTGCATCCTTATAATGATTGCATTCATTTCAATTTAGCTATAGTAATATTCTTTTGAAATCACTGTCGCATTACAAATTTTATCTTATATGGTTTTGGTTGCATCACCAGGCCAGGATTCAGGTCATCTAAACCAAACTCAGCAAGATTTTCACTATCTAGTTTTTCGATTGTAGCTGTTTGCATCAAAGTTGTAAAAATGAGGAACATTCTTGATATGTCAAAAACCTCACCAATACAAGATCTTTTGCCAACACCAAACGGCATTAAACTACAAAACATTATAATGGAAGTCAGAAACAATATATAAAAGCAGCAACCACTGTTTGAAAAAGATGTCTTGAGATTAATTGATTGTTGACTACATCAAAGACTTTAAGCGAATTTGTTACTTTTAATGATATTATTTGGTACACAATGCTTTATATCTGAACAAAGATAAATTTTTGATATTTGCAATAGTTTCCCGAAGAATTTTTCAAAACTTAAAACACTTTTTTTTAAACTTCTCGTAACATTCTGAGATTAAAAACCTGCTACTATAATACTATCATAATTAATTACATACAGTATATGATATAGCGTGAACATTTTATCACTATACAGTAGATTCAATATCGTTGTCATATTGAACTGTTTTGCTGATCAAATGAACAAACGCACCACAGTATGTATGATTTTTTTTTAGACTACTGAAAGGAGAAGTATACTTAATGGAACGATATTTTGTATTAAAAGCAAATTTGTAATTGATATAGAAGTCCCCTTACATTTGAATTTCATGAAAACAAAAAATGTTTAAATGTTTTTCACCATTAACGTTTAATTTTTAAACAAAATTCTGTGAAAGGAATTCCGAGAAATCGTAATTTAAAGTGAATAATTCATATATTTCGCCGCTTTTTACCTACATTTTATACATACATTTTTTAAACCTATTTCACAAAAGTTTAAATACATGAAAGGCAAAACTTGGTTTTAAAAATTTTCCGATGTAAGATGCAAAGTAAAACAGTCGTAAATATCATATTGTATTCTAGTAACAGACGATATTTAGAAGAGTATATTTTGTACGCTTCAGTTTTCAAAGGTTCAAAACTAAGTCAAATTGACCGTTATAAAATATCTGTTTCACAGATGACGACGGGTATGTTCCAATCGTCGTAACCACAATCCTGTCCTCCTTTTCCTCAAATGTGAAACTACCGAATTAGAATCATCACCGGTTTTTTACTTACACGAGCAACACGACGGGTGCCACTAGTGGAGCAGGATCTGCTTACATTTCCGGAGCACCCGAAATCACCCCCCGATTTTTGTTGGGGTTCGCGTTGCTCAGTTTTTAGTTTTATGTTGTGTTTTGTATACTGTTGTTTGTCTTTTGGTCTTTTTCTTTTTTTACATGGCGTTGTCAGTTTATTTTCGACTCATGAGTTTAATATCCCTTTGGTATCTTTCACTTTACTTCTCTCTTGGACAAAAAATACTTGTTCTTCGGTATATATGAATAAAGGGAAATGTTGGGTATTATTGATTTTCCTTTTTATTTCGCAAACACGTCTTTCAACTTAATTTGCATTAAACAAAATCTTGAAACAACGTGTACGTTTGATTACAAACTATACCTTTCCCGGAGTGGGTTTGTTTATCCAGAAATCGATCAGGAATAAACGTATATGGATGTTCAAAATCTTTATTATTTCGATTGGCAGTCCAAAGGTTTGGAATTATCTGAAATTATATATAATTTATTGTGTACAATGAAATTTATGGATTAAACGCTTTAGCTGCATAAAAATCCTTAATTCAATTTATATTTATCAAGATGGTGTATATAAATTGTTCAGGTTTTTTTTCAATAAAAATAACACTTAAAAAAATTGATGCATCCAAATTTTTTTTTTTTATTTACACGAATAAGGACACATTCCACAAAAAAACAAAATTCCAAAAGAAGTTTATAAGTCATAGTCTTCAACTTTTAAAATTGGTCCATTTTAGGTCATGCGATTGCAAATTACACCGCAAAAACATATTAAATATGCAATATTCAATCAAAGAGGGACGAAAGATACCAAAGGGACAGTCAAACTCATAGATCGAAAACAAACTGACAACGCCATGGCCAAAAATAAAAAGACAAACAGACAAATAATAGTACAGATGACACAACACAGAAAACCAAAGACCAAGCAACACAAACCCCACCAAAAACTGGGGGTGACCCCAGGTGCTCTGGAAGGGCAAGCAGACCCTGCTCCACATGGCTCAATCAAAATAGCCATTAGATAGCGCTACTTAACATTTTGATTGAAACCTCTTTTTGAATTATGCTAACCGTCGTTCCTTTTTGTATAGTGTAACCATTTATTTGACAATCATCTGCAGTAAAATGAAATACTGATAATGGGATGTGCGATATGTATCGCAAAATTTCCAACAGAACAGATCCGATTAACGGACAATTTCTCTGTCGCGAAGAGTTGGGTTTCTGTTAGATCCGATGACATTGTCAACTTCTAACTGTAGTAACTTTCGAAGTTCAGGTCGTGTTGCCAGGATATGAACGCGTGAAAGAAGTGTACCTCTTGTTATATTGTACCCTACAAAATAAATGCATATCAATCAAGTGTTTTCTATAACAAAACTAGTTCTTTGTGATAGATAAGAAAAGAAAACCTTTGTTATTCGTTTGAATCCATTCCCATTGTGAAAAATGGGCAGAGGATCTACAAAATTATTCGTTCAGTTTTAAGAACAGAATGTAGCGCCCAATCAAGTCCGATGAGGGAAACAAATAGGTAATTTTAAAATGAAACTTTATTAACATTATTGACGCCAAATTTTATTTACATAAGTCATGTTTCGTCAGCGAAAAGGATGATAATTTGATTTCAAGTGGAGTTCAGTTTGAACCTATGTGACATCACAGTCGGAATTGACGTCATCTAATCAGAACAAATTTTTGGAAAGAATCACCGAATCATCATTCTACGAAAATCAAAAAGATTTCTCTAAAAGTGTGAGAGAAAATTTGATTTGGCCAGACACAATCAAAAAATTGCTCTAGGTATGGTTTTCGTTCAGTAAGAGAAAAGAGGGAAATAAAATCAAATAGAAAAACAGGAATTCATGTCAATTTTGTTCAGATCGGACATGCTTTGTCAGAGATGAGGACGAAAATGGGATTTCCAGAAAGGTTCACTTAGATGTATCCGGCATCATTTGCTACCCAATTAACACCATGAAAATCTCATATAGGTGGTCATCGAACCACC